TCTGCGTCCATTCTCTACATTAGTGCATTGCGTAAAACCCTGATGTATTCTTTTGTTTGTTTGTCTGTTTTTTAACGCCGCACTTTGCAATATTCCAGGTATATGACGGCAGTCTGTAAATAATCAAGTCTGGACCAGACAATCCAGTGATTGACATCATGAGCATCGATCCACGCAATTGGGATCGATGACATGTATCAACCAAGTCAGCGAGCCTGACCACCCAATCCCGTTAGTCGCCTTTTACGACAAGCATAGTCACCTATTACGGCGAGAGTGGTTGCTGAAGACCTATTCTACCCCGGATCTTCACAGGTCAAAATAAATTATTAAATGACATCAAATGAAGACCTATTCAGTGATGGTGGGATACAGGGAGTACAGAACCAGTGAAGTATTGATGATGGGGAACACGGAACTAGCACCTGTACTGTGACACTTGATCCTAACTTTAGTAGGACAATAATGGCGTAAAGAACCAGTGAAGTATTGACGATGGGGAACACGGAACTAGCACCTGTACTGTGACACTTGATCCTAACTTTAGTAGGACAATAATGGCGTACAGAACCAGTGAAGTATTGACGATGGGGAACACGGAACTAGCACCTGCAGTGTGACACTTGATCCTAACTTTAGTAGGACAATAATGGCGTACAGAACCAGTCAAGTATTGATGATGGGAACACGGAACTAGCACCTGCAGTGTCACACTTGATCCTAACTTTAGTAGGACAATAATGGCGTACAGAACCAGTGAAGTATTGACGATGGGGAACACGGAACTAGCACCTGCAGTGTGACACTTGATCCTAACTTTAGTAGGACAATAATGGCGTAAAGAACCAGTGAAGTATTGACGATGGGGAACACGGAACTAGCACCTGCACTGTGACACTTGATCCTAACTTTAGTAGGACAATAATGGCGTACAGAACCAGTCAAGTATTGATGATGGGGAACACGGAACTAGCACCTGCAGTGTGACACTTGATCCTAACTTTAGAAGGACAATAATGGCGTACAGAACCAGTGAAGTATTGACGATGGGGAACACGGAACTAGCACCTGCACTGTGACACTTGATCCTAACTTTAGTAGGACAATAATGGCGTACAGAACCAGTGAAGTATTGACGATGGGGAACACGGAACTAGCACCTGCAGTGTGACACTTGATCCTAACTTTAGAAGGACAATAATGGCGTACAGAACCAGTGAAGTATTGACGATGGGGAACACGGAACTAGCACCTGCACTGTGACACTTGATCCTAACTTTAGTAGGACAATAATGGCGTACAGAACCAGTGAAGTATTGACGATGGGGAACACGGAACTAACACCTGCACTGTGACACTTGATCCTAACTTTAGTAGGACAATAATGGCGTACCGAGGACCGATTCTGCCCCAGAATCACCCAGGGCATTCCTCCAAGCAACATGGATATCTTATCATTGTAATTCAGTTTGGGAACTGTCAGTGCCATTATTGTGACACCTGATCCTCATTTTGGTCAGGATGTATGAAAATCATGGCATACTAAGGACAGATTCTGCACTGGAATCACAGATGGAGCTTTGTAATTTACTTTGGTGCACACGTCCAGTGCCATTATTGTGACACATGATCCTCATTCTAGTTGGGTCGTATGACAATCATGGCATGCTAAGGAACGATTCTACCCCGGAATCACCACAGAGTTTCTTGTAGCATCATGGATACCTAACTATTGTAATTCAGTTTGGGAACTGACCAGTGCCATTATTGTGACACATGATCCTCATTCTAGTTGGGTCGTATGATAATCATGGCATACTATGGACCGATTCTACCCCGGAATCACCAGAGAGTTTCTTGTAGCATCATGGATATCTAACTATTGTGAATTCTGTTTTGGACACAGCACCAGTGCCTGGAGAGCTCAGCGTCTATATTCTACATGAAACACACATCAAGGAATCAGTGGAACCAGCAAACTAAGATATAAGAAGCATGAAGCACACCATAATGCATACCTTTCGTTGTCATCCAAATACTAAACAATGACTGTGTTGTGTGCTTGAGGCACTGCCCTAACAGTTATATCACAGGAAATAATAACTTCAGACCAGATGACTTCCAACCTGTCTCTCAGCCTAATGTCTGTTGATTTTGTTTAACACTCAGCAATATTCCAGCTATATGACAGCAGCCTGTATATAATCGAATCTGGACCAGACAATCCAGTGACAGTATACATATAATGAGCAACGATCCCCCTGGTTCACACTAGGAATTTTCAGACATGGGCCCTTTTTGTGAAAATTTTAAATATTCCAGAGGTACGCCCATACAGCACAATGTTAAAATGCCCCATTGTATTTGAAAATGTGGGCCTTTTTTCAAATTTAGGGGCTAAAAGCACAAGGCCCCACCCTTGTATTATCCCTGGATCCCAACATCAGAGTACGAGGACATACTATAAACAAGGGCAGATCCAGCATTTTCAAAACAGGGGTCCAAAATATCAAAATCCTCCCTCAGTGGGGGGTGGGGGGTGGGGGGAGGGGGAGGGGGAGGGGGAGGAATTGTCTACAACATACCACATTGGGTTTTCAAGGGGGGGGGGGGGGGGGGGGGGTTGGGGACCTATTGTAACCCAGAGTCCCACAGGGAATCTGACAACATGTCTTGGGCCACCAGGCAGGTGCCCTGTGTGCCGAGGTCCTACTCAGTACCCACCCGACCTGGGTACCCGAGTTACCCGTCCCAGCCCTACCGAGGATCATAGCCTGATCACACACAGGGCTGGGACGGGTAACTCGGGTACCCAGGTCGGGTGGGTACTGAGTAGGACCCGGGTACCTACAGGACTACCCGGACCCATGGTTAGTCATGTGATTTATTGTTTAATGACAAAAATTATCTAGAACTCTAGGGTTACACTACAAGTCACTACTGTTCACATTTCTTTCTGACTATGAACCCATTCCTTCTGATTTTTCATATGGTTGAATAAAGATATAACTTAATTCAACTTCAGTGTATGAATGACCAGATTGTTTAATACATGTATCTAAATATGTTTTGCCAGGACTATGATAAAAATGTTCCCAATCGGACATGTTGAGACATCTCCTGAGACCTACAGTGAGTACCCGGGTAGGGTCGGGTAATAGGGGTGGGTCCCCGGGTAGGGTCGGGTAATAGGGGGTGGGTCCCCGGGTAGGGCAGGTAATAGGGGGCTGGGTCCCAAGGTAGGGTCGGGTAATAGGGAGGTGGGTCCCCGGGTAGGGTCGGGTAATACAGGGTGGGTACCTGGGTAGGGTCGGGTAATAGGGGGGTGGGTACCCGGGTAGGGTCGGGTAATAGGGGGTGGGTCTCCGGGTAGGGTCAGGTAATAGGGGGTTGGGTCCCCAGGTAGGGTCGGGTAATAGGGGGGTGGGTCCCCGGGTAGGGTCGGGTAATACGGGGTTGGTACCCGTATAGTAAACTTGGACTCGTCCCAGCCCAAATCCTCAGTAAAATACAACAGATGAACATCAGGCTCAAACATAATAAAATACAACTTCTGACATCTGGTGCTAATTTTTTCGCTTCAAAAGTCCCCTCACACTAGGCTCTCTGGATCATTGCCTCAGAACCAACTATCATTTTTCGTCGGTCTGTTCAAGGTTTTTTTCCATTACATTAAATATAAAAAAAGTCAAATAATGACGTTTGTCATTTGGGTCCATTTTCCATCTATCTAGAGTATGCAAAAGAATTTCCACAAAAATCAAAGTAAGAAATGTTCCAAACAACATGACATCAAGTCTGACTATACAGGTACTTTTGTCGATATGCATTACGATCTACCTCACAAGCATCAATGAGATCTGCCACTGATTGTCAGACAAGAGGTCGTAAAAGACACTGTAATCTCTCAATAAGCCCCGACTCACTGCGCTGTGCAAGAGGTTAAAGGCAACCATCCCAATGGTAGCCCTGTCAATGGCCATTCCTTTAGCACATGAGAGATTACAGCCGATTTACTCCTGTCCGGAACAATATCTGATACTATTAGCAACACAACATGTCTTGTCAACAGTGGCTGACTCATTGGCATTCATAAGAGTTCTGCATTTTCATGTTCAAAATAAAATATATTTATGCTGGGTTTATCAAGATATTAATACTGTATTCGACGTAATAAGTGCCCAGCTCTAATAAGCACCCACGGCTAGTGAACAATCCAAATTAGCACCCCTTTCAAGTGATCAATGTACACAATACTTATATTTTCGTGTATAACACGCATTCATGTTACATGCACCCTTAATTATGGCCAATAAATTCTGGAAAATATATCTGTCGTGTATGATATGCACATACTTTTCTTTTGTATCATTTCAGGCTGTCAGCATAAACTACAAAATTTACGATCTTTCAACCAAAATTATATTTTAATATTTCTAATTTTGAGAGCCCCCCGGGCGCATATTACGTCGAATACGGTACCTTGAGACAATACCAATAATAAACTAGGTATGTTTTTATGTCTGGATTCTCATTTTTGTCTTTTTCTAATGTCTTGTAAGGTAAATAGTTTCCTTAGACAAGAGGGAAATTAGTCTCAGTAAGATGAGAAATTTTGTTAAATGACCAAAAATAGGAACTTTGCACCTGCTACAATGATTTTGCAAAAACAAGTCGTCCACTTTAAGCAGCACTAAATGCACTGTCTCTTTTCACCGTCTTATTTTTCTAACATCCATATATAATAAAATACCCAGCTTATCATAGGTCTACTATGAAATAAAGAGGTCTCCTGTGCTGTACTTAACAAGACTAACATGAAGGATCCGTGCATTCTTTCAACCAAGTGTCTCAGCTAGCGTGATACAGATGTTTATACACTGCCTACACAAGCATTATTCCCTGCCAAGAGAGCCTCTTTAAATTCACAGCTGACAGAAAATGCAGAATTCTTTTTTTGACCAATTGTTAACTGCGGCAAACGAACTCAAGAAGCTTACGTTACAAACTGATGATTGTTGTTGTTGTTGTTGATGTTGTTAATGTTGTTGTTTGTTGGAAATGGGGTTTGAAGACCATCATACCCGTTGAGGCGCCCTTGTTTCACCATGTTGGCTTCGTCTTCAACTTTCTCTCTTTGTTTCTTGGACATTCGACCAAACTTCACAGCTGGAATTGATACGGTCAGCTTGAATATTGTCGTGATTCATTTGATGTTTGTTTGTTGTTTAATGCTGTACTCAGGAATATTTCACCTAAATGACACATATTTGAGTCTGTACCAGACAATCCAATGATTGACATCATGAGCATCGATCCATGCACTTGGGATACAATGACATGCATCAATCAAGACAGAAAGCCTCATCTCTCAATCCATTTAGTGACCTTTAGTGACAGGCTTAAAGTTCCTGGGAACCTATAATCTTACCCCAAATCTTCATGCGTTTTTGAATTATTAACATGATTAAAGAAAACATTTATAATTGATCAGTATATTCATTTGAAAATGACAAATTAACATAAACATCCTTGAGTAATATTTATTTTATTAAAATAAAGAAATAATAAAATATTACTCTCCTAAATGGCCACATAGTGTTTCTGTTGCAATACAGTGTATCAGCTTAATGTGGGGGGACACCAAAAGCCAGCGATAGAAACTAACATTCTCAGTCCACTGGTCCTTATAATACAGTAAACGAACTCAAAGGGACTACTAATTTTAGTTTGTTATAACCGTAATTCGTTATAAGCATATGTACAGCTTAACTACAGCATATAGTCGGGACTAAAAAGTTAGTTCGTTATATCCATTAGTTCGTTATAATCGTGTTCGTTATAACCGTAGTTTACTGTATATACCAAAACCCTTAAACATGGGCAAATTTCTACTAGTCCATATGACACCTTAACTATTGGACAGTTTGGTAAGGACTAAAGGACTAGTGCCAATTTCTATCGCTGCCAAAGTGATGCAGATCTGAACACTTGGTAAACTCACAAGCATTGGTATGGTGGTGGCAAACCTACGATGATAATTGGGGGTGACTATTGGTAAACTCACAAGCATTGGTATGGCGGTGGCAAACCTACGATGATAATTGGGGCTGACTATTGGTAAACTCACAAGCATTGGTATGGCGGTGGCAAACCTACAATGATAATTGGGGGTGACTATTGGGGCTACTTTTACAACTAAGATTGTACGGCAATAGTAGCCACACTACTGCAATAGTATTGCAATAGTGGTAAACTTTTAACTATTAATCAATGTAATGTAATCTCAAAGATGGCCACTTGCCCCCATTGCTACTCAAACCAAAGGGAAGTAACTCTAAATATCAAGTTGTCCTAATTCTTGGTAACCAACTGTGTGGACACAGGCAGGTTTTGAATTTGCATAATTTAGGTTTTATTTATAACTAATTGCAACTATTGAAACTATCTATTGTTATGCACACTATCGACATTACTATTGGCATTTTCAAATTCCTATCAAAATAGTACGATTGTAAAGCAAACAATTGCAATGGATCCGTAGTTTAATATATTGTAACACTCCTAATCATGATCAATGAGACTTGGGATTCGAACACAAGACCTTAGGATCCTGGCACTCCTAAGGGAGACAACTCTTCAGAATTGCAGCATGTTAGTTGGTTGTCTATCAGTGCCCAATAGTATTGGTTATGTATTATTGTGCCCAAAGTTGTTGCCAAGTTATTGCCTTTGCAGCATCTTCATTGCTATAGCAACTCACCATCTCTGGACATGCCAAGTGCTATACACTTTTGTAGTCGACAGTACTGACACCGATTCCTGTTGACTCTGTCTATTACACAGTTCTTGTTTCGAGGACATTGGTAGTTAACTGGGCCGGACTGACTCCTCCGGAAGAAACCCTGGAAAATATATTAAAGAAACTGACACATACTAAATCATTCATTATAACCTGTTTGATGTGTTCATGGCAGGACCCCATCTGACACTCAAGATCTAATCAAGATGCAATTTTTGAATCAAATCTCTCGGTCTACACTCAAGGTCCAAACTCAAGACTCAGGATCCAATCTCTGAATCCAACTTAAGAACATCTTCCCGTGGCAAAGGGAGCTAACTAACTCTAAAAGCGCAGTTTCCACCCTTGCCAAACTAGGCTGCAATTATGGAGTCATATTTTGGCTGGACTAATGAGTCTATGCATAGTCCATTCAAAATCGCGTACCGAAATTGACATCCTGTTCGTAAACAACATGGATTTCACTAATCTATTCACGTTTTCAATCAAGGTGCTCACATGATTTGATGCACTTCACAAGGTAAGACCTGTTTCATTACAACATATATTTTGATCATCGATCAGATCGTCTTGACTGGGCGCCGCCATTTTGTTTGAAGCAAATGCAAGTGATATCAGAGGTGGATTCTGATTGGTCAGTAGGAGGGGCACAGAAGGGACATAACTCCTAATAAACACTTGTGGCGCTACAATTGAGCCAAGAATTTCCAGCCTAGTTCAGCAAGGGTGGAAACTGGACTTTTATAGTCAGTTATCTCCCTTGCCTTGGGAGGAAGACTTAAGAATTAATCTGGATATCAAGAAATGTGTTCACTTACACAGTAATCTTTATCTTCCCAAAAGCGGAAATCAATTTCTGGTTGTCTCAGGTGACTAATCAATACAATTTATTAGATCCTCATGGGTGATGAAACAATTGACATCTTTTATATGATTTCTTCCCAAAGGGATAATTGATCCATCACCTGTAACAATGAAGGGCTCTGGAGGTCAGTAATATACGGTTGGGGAACCCCAGTTTTTGCAATGGGTCTGTTTGGACTTACCTTGCAGCCTTCACATGTGATAACGCCATAATGAACGCCCGATGACTTGTCCCCGCACACTTTGCACGGGATGACTTCAATCTGGGCTGCAAAATAAAATAAAATAATTAGTTCGGCAAGACTTTGTAATTGTGAAATGGAACTGGAACACAAAGCACAGATATAAAAATCCTCCCTTTGTATTTTTTCTGTCTGCCATGTCCGTCTATGTCTGCTGTGTCCATCTATGTCTGCCGTGTCCGTCTACGTCTGCCGTGTCGGTCTATGCCTGATGTGTCCGTCTACATCTGCCATGTTGGTCTATGCCTGATGTGTCCGTCTACATCTGCTGCAATCTCATATAATTCAGATCCTAGTTCTCGCTATCGCCAAACAAAGATCTGAGGACATCCCATTACGGGTAAACAAAGATCTGAGGACAGACCATTACGGGTAAACAAAGATCTGAGGACATACCATTACGGGTAAACAAAGATCTGAGGACATACCATTACGGGTAAACAGAGATCTGAGGACATACCATTACGGGTAAACAAAGATCTGAGGACATACCATTACGGGTAAACAGAGATCTGAGGACATACCATTACGGGTAAACAAATATCTGAGGACATACCATTACGGGTAAACAGAGATCTGAGGATAGCCCATTACGGGTAAACAAAGATTTGGGGACATACCATAGCGGGTAAACAGAGATCTGAGGACATCCCATTATGGGTAAACAAAGATCTGAGGACATACCATTTCGGGGAAACAGAGATCTGAGGACAGCCCATTACGGGTAAACAGAGATCTGAGGACATCCAATTACGGGTAAACAGAGATCTGAGGACATACCATTACGGGTAAACAAAGATCTGAGGACATACCATTACGGGTAAACAGAGATCTGAGGACATCCAATTGCGGGTAAACAGATCTGAGGACATACCATTACGGGTAAACAAAGATCTGAGGACATACCATTACGGGTAAACAGAGATCTGAGGACATACCATTACGGGTAAACAAAGATCTGAGGACATACCATTACGGGTAAACAAAGATCTGAGGACATACCATTACGGGTAAACAGAGATCTGAGGACATCCAATTGCGGGTAAACAGAGATCTGAGGACATACCATTACGGGTAAACAAAGATCTGAGGACATACCATTACGGCTAAACAAAGATCTGAGGACAGCCCATTACGGGTAAACAAAGATCTGAGGACGGCCCATTACGGGTCACGTCAGGCCTAGTACTAGTCTTTATGATACCTTAACTATTGGGCAGTTTGGCAAGGACCACATGACTAGCGTCAATTATACTGAGCAAGTATGACACATTTATCTTCATATTAAAAGGAACTTCAAGGAAAAATGTGTTTTCGAGAGCAACATCTACAACTGCCAGAGTGTTGTGCCGTTCATGACACATCAATCAAACCTCCAACTGCTCATAGCGATTGGGGCGGTCGGGTAGCCTAGTGGTTAAGCGTTTGCTTGTCACGCCGAAGACCCTGGTTCGAATCCCGACATGGGTACAATGTGTGAAGCCCATTTCTGGTGTCCCCCGCCGTGAAATTGCTGGAATATTGCTAAAAGCGACGTAAAACCAAACTCACTCACTCACTCACTCATAGCGATTATCATGTACACAAATTTCAGCTTTCTCATAAAACATTTTTTTTAAATTCCTCTTTTCAAAATCAAATGAATTTTCAAGTTAAATGTCCTGAAAGAAACAGGAGGCTCATTGAGGGTTGTTTGTTTGTTTGTTTGGTTTGTTTGTTTGTTTGTTGTTGTTTAATGCCTTACTCAGCAATATTCCAGCTATATGACCGCGGTCTGTAAATAGGAAGTCTCGAACAGACAATCCAGTGATTGACGTTATGAGCATCGATCCACGCAATTGGGATACGATGACATGCATCGGTAGCATAAGACACTGAGATGGATGAGAATGACATATCTGTATTGAAGACAATAGACAACTAACCACAACAAGGATTGAAGGAGTTAAAATCAAATGGTCATCTGATAATTTCCAACCAGTGGTTTACATAACTAAACTTAAATTGTTGACAAACTAAGTACCACTATTAAATTATGACATCAAAGCATAGTATCTTGTAAGCAGATTTTGAGAACCAAAATCCAAAGATATAGAAATAGGAAAGGTACTTGAAAACATCAAGCGTTTTGATACCAGGCAACTTCCAGAAACTGTATTATAAACCCTCAACGCCCAAAGTAGAATCTAGTTGCACTTGCCACAAGGGTTATTGCGAGTTAGAGGACTGCTTGACTAGCGACATAGCGACATAGCGACATAGGAGGGTTTATTGGTAAGTTCTTAGCCTCAAATAGATGATTGTGACACCTTTTGTTGTGGACAAAGGTGTCCCTATGATACCTTAACTATTGGGCAGTTTGGAAGGACAATAGGGCTAGTGCCAATTTCTGTATGACAACCCTCCGTGGTCTAGTTGTTGAGTGTCCGCCCGGAGAGCGAAAGTTCTGGGGTTTGATCCCCGGCCGCGTCATACCAAAAGATGTTAAAAGGTAGTACTTGCTGTTACCCTGTCTGGCACTCGGCATTAAGGGCCTAAAAACAAGGACTGGTCAGCTCGGAGTCAGTATACTGTGTCTGAGTGGGGTATTTATGTTAAACTGAAGCACGGTATCTCAGTGAGCTAGCTCTATAAATCGGCATCAGTCCGGACTAGTACACACAGACAGACAGACAGACAGACAGACACACTCATTGCTATATAAGTGCAATAATCTTGGACACAATGTTAAACCCCATTTTATCTCACCTCACCTCTAATAACACTGACTGTAAAATAAGAGCTACCGTATTCAACGTAATAAGCGCCCAGGGCGCTCTCAAAATTAGAAATAGGGGGCGCTTATTAGAATATTATTTTGAGTTGAAAGATCGTAAATTTCGTGGTTTATGCAAACAGCCTGAAATGTTTACATACGACAGATATATTTTTCAAGAATTTGATTGCCCATAATTAAGGGTGATATAACACATGAGTGCGTATTATACACGAATAAATAAGTCTTGTGTACATTGATCAATCGGAAGGGGTGCTGATTGGGATTGTTTACTAGCCAATATATTAGCAAATATCGCCGTGGGCGCTTATTAGAGCGGGGCGCTTATTACGTCGAATACGGTAGTACAAATTTGCCATTATTAAATGTTTTGCTTGCTGTTATCTATGTAAGAACTAGTGGACTAAAATTATTATTTCTATTGCTGAACTGGGATATTTAATAAAGAATTTGTTATATAATATATATCAATCTATAACCAAACGCCCAGGAGGACCATCTGTGAGGAATGTACGTATACCCTGACCCCCATTGTTACAGCCTGCAACCAACAGTGTATGTACGAACCCAGGAAATGTACAAACTGTCACAACACCACAGTGTGGTCACATATGGCCGATGACAGACAACCAGCCACATGTGTCAGTCCGGCATTATTTAATTTCCTCGCAAGGTACGAGATCCTGGTTTGTGATAAACACGGACAGAAAATTAAGGCCATGATAAGTTGATAAGTTGCTTTACTGAATCACTTTTTTCCAGTGATGTTACAGTGTTAGAAAATTGGCACTAGTCCTGTCGTCCTTACCAAACTGCCCAATAGTAAAGGTATCCTAAGGACTAGAATTGGTCAATTTTAAGGGTTTTGCTATATGTGACCATTATAAGGAGTGGTGGACAAAAACTGTTAGTTTCTAACCCTGTGTTACAACGCACTGGTGATTTATTATACGTGAGATTGGCCTCAGGACTGTATCATATTTTGCACACACATACACATAACATTTCCTAAATTACATGCAACATTTTCCCTTTGTCCAAGGAAATAACTATTGAAGTATGGGAGTCACGATCTTCACATATTATTTTGTGTCAGAGGGACCTGGTCCAGTTATCGCCAACACACATTTTTCATTCGACATTTTAATTATCCCTAATCAGTCAGTGAGAGAGCTGTGTCCCTTAGTCGTATACATTGGCTGACTGGATAGTGCTACATTTATAGCATGGCTTGTCAGCCTCCCGTGGAGGGATGAAGATGTTAAGACATTTACCACTTTGATGACACAACTGAATACAGGTATAGTCAGTGTTAGAACTTGACACTAATCCTAATGTCCTTGCCAAACTGCCCAATAGTTAAGGTGTCCGAGGACTTATAGAAATTTGCCCTTTTCAAGGGTTTTGCTATATGTTATAATTATAAGGACTAGTGGTCTAAAACTGTTAAGTTTCTATCGCTAATAGTCCTGACAAACCAGCGGGAATCCGTGACAATCATCATCTGATCATCACCACAATCATCTGATCCTGCCCAGACTAAGGGATACAACTCTACACAGAGAAATATGTTCCCCCACAAATATTGTAGCTGATGTATATTCCCTCCCTTAAAAAGCAATGTTGTGTTTTGAAAAAAAATGCATTTCTTGTTGATAATGAATTCCAATTCCATGTCTGAGATGCATGTTATTCCAAGCTGCACATGCCATGCCATTAGAGTGAGTGAGTTGGGTTTTACGCCGCTTTTAACAGTATTCCAGTTATATCACAGCGTCCATGCCATTAGAGTTCACTGACAAAAACAGCAAATCCGACAAACACAGCATATAATTCTATGTGTATAGCCTAACCGAAATATAAATCATAATTGCATAGTTCTGATTATTAAATATGAAATTGAATCAATGGAGCAACTGTTATACACGCTAATCAGCAATATTTCATCAATACCATGGCCACCTGTAGACAATCAGCCTGACCCCGCGACCCACAGGTTGAAAACTGTCCGCTGGTCTGAAGATAGTGACCAGTGGTATTTCCTTGTGGACTACAGTCTGTGCCCAAAAAAGTATTTTGGCATTATTTTCAGATTATTTCAGTTTTAGTTTATGAACTAGTATTGTGATTGTCTTTCTGGACCAGAACAAATCTTACTAGACTCAGGCTTCGGAGTAGTGGCTGAAGCCAAGGTAGATGGCAACTCAGATCACTTTTGTGGACTAGAAGTAGTAGAAATAGATTATTAAA